TTTTATTTTTTATTTATTTTATTTATTTGGACTTATATACCACCCCATAGCGCTACAAGCACTCTCCGGGCAGTTTACAATTTTAATTATACAGGCTACACATTGCCCCCCCCCCCAGCAAGCTGGGTACTCATTTTACCGACCTCGGAAGGATGGAAGGCTGAGTCAACCTTGAGCCGGCTACCTGGAATTTGAACCTACATCTCCTTGGTTCTACTGTGTGACATGGAATTGTGACTGTTAACACAGGCAACAATGAAATATATGAGCATTTCAAAGAGTGGGTTTATCACACGATGCTAAGAACTGATTGTATTGAGAGGGTCATGAATGAAGAGATGCGAAGGAAAATGAATAAATAAATACTGTAAAAAGTCATAGAAGATGCAAAATATCTGAACCTCATCATGAGAAAAGAAGAGGACAGATTATTACAGTTGATGATTAAAGCTAAAATAAATCGAGGTGAAACCACAGGAAGCAAAGAAACATACTGGTTAAAAAGCCTTGGATTCTGATTTGCTGCAGCACAATGTCATTTCTCAGGGCAGCCACATCCAAAATCAAAATAGGCAAGATGACGTCTCGTTTCCAGTAGGAAAGAAGTGTGAAAAAGAAAGTAAGGTCAAATGCATAAAGTGGTATTTTATCGGCCCTTTCCAACTATCCCAACTATCTTACATTTTGTAATGTGAAAACTGGCCACCGCGAGGTAAGACGTTTACAAAGGAGTACATTTTTAAAATGGATATACAGTACCAGGCAGCAAAGCTTTGATACTTCTTTAGCCTGATGAAGAATTCAGTGAAACTCAAAACTTGCATATCTTTAGATTTATTCCTTGATGTAATTAAAAAATACCTCTTCAATCTATTCAACAGTATCCTATTCTGAAGAATAAGTGTTTCGTTACTTTGAATGCACTGTGAAATATTAAGAGTTTTACATGAATAATGCTGGAAAGCAGACTTCCATATTTTGCAAATATCCTTACTCCGAAGTGTTATCAGTACTGCAACTGTTCAAAATTTACAGTATCTGATCTAACATGAGCACAGATAAAGAAACATCCAAATGCATGTGTATGGGGCATGCAGAATGAAGAAAGCGCAGGTAGAGCCTATTTTCATATATATTCTATCATATTCTTATTCTGTCTTTCCACCAAGGAGCTTAAGATAGCATTATCTGTCCCTTTGGTTGGGAGGAGCGAGTGAGTGACTGCCCGGGTCTTCAGCTGAACTTCTTGGAGGATCATAAAACAGGTCTATCAAATCCTAGTTCAGGATCAGAGCCAGTATTCAACATTGGGTCACTATTTATGAACAGTGTAATGGGTGTCTGTATTTCAGCAAGGTTTTTCATCACTCAACATTTCAGCTACTGTACCATGCACTGAACAGAAAATAAAATCTGTGCAATCTTTTTGGATAGCACTACACTCCAGAAAATCTCCTAAGGAATCAATCCACTGTATATGAGACATTTAAAACAAATAACATAACCAGTATTAGTAATAATCATGTGCTGTCAAGTCAGTTCTGACCTGTGGCAACCCTTTTTATGGTTTTCCAGGTGGAGAGAACTCAGAAGTGGTTGACCACTTCCTTTCTTCTGGGGTCACCTTGGGACTGTGCAGCTTGCCCAAGGCTACGCAGGCTGGCTCTTCCCACAGGGGGCTCAGTGGGGAATTGAACTCCCATATACTTAAACCACTGAGCTATCTAGCCAGATTTAGATCTCTGCTGCAAGTAGGTCAGAAGGTATGGGTGTTAACCAATTAATATGGCATTTTACTTCTGTGATAAACTTTGAAAAGTGCATTAATATAACACTATAAAATAGAGCATGCTTGAAGCCCATAAACAATCACATTAAATAGGATCTTAGATTTTAATCCAAGATTTAATCACCTTTTTTGTTTAAAAAAACACACACCCCAAAACCATACACACAGACATATACAAACACACACATTAAAATGTTCATAACCATACTGACCCACCATGTTGAGGAACTTTAGTGCTATGGAGTGACCAACAGATTAGTAACAGTGTATCACAATGCAGTATACAATGTCCTAATACACCCACTACTGTACATATAATCACCATTGCCATCACCACCACAAAATGAGTTTCAGACAGTTTATTTAGAAAAAGTTTGTACTCCCTAGTACCTAAGGTTTTGAGCTAGGTTAGAGGAAGCATCAATTGAACAGCAAATAAATCTCATCTCAGTCTACTACTAATGAAGAATAAGAATTCACATTCTTTTATGAGAGATGACTTCAAAGTTCATCCATGTAACTGGATCTGCAGATCAGGAACAAATATGGGGGAGCCGGAATCTCTTAAAGTACACATTTACAAATGGTCATTTTTTAAAGTCTTGTGTTCTGCAAGTCTTGTTAAGAGGGGCATATAAGGAGGGCAGCAAAGAGGAAGAATTCAGAACGATTCTGTTTGACTCCATGCCTCTGCTAAAGTGCTTGCTGTTTCTTATACCTCACAACCTGAACTCTGACTGAGAAAGAAGTTAGTAATTAGCAAGCACTTGTGTGTGTGGGGGGAGAACAGGACATTGATTGATTGATTGATTGATTGATTGGACTGGGGCCACAAGTAATGTTTCTCTCCCTGCCTTTCCCTTCTGTGGCAAGGAAGGAGGGCAGTGGAGAAGACTGAACTTTCAAAGAAAGAAAAAGGCCACCCATGACTGAGACTTCTCCCTTCAAAAAGCTCGTTTTGTAATAAACCTGCCTTTCTTCAAGCTGGCATACGTTCTTCTTCGGATTGATTGATTGATTGGACTGGGGCCACAAGTAATGTTTCTCTCCCTGCCTTTCCCTTCTGTGGCAAGGAAGGAGGGCAGTGGAGAAGACTGAACTTTCAAAGAAAGAAAAAGGCCACCCATGACTGAGACTTCTCCCTTCAAAAAGCTCGTTTTGTAATAAACCTGCCTTTCTTCAAGCTGGCATACGTTCTTCTTCGTTGTCGTTTTCTTCCCCC